TAATTATATATATATATATATATATATATATATATATATATTACTTTATTTCATATATAAATAAAATTTAATTAATAATAAATTTAATTAATTAAGCATAATTAGATATTAATACAAAAATTATTATTAATATAATAATTAATTTAATTAATAATAACCAACAATAAAATGAAACATTATTGATAAAATATGTGTGATAACGATATCACATTATCTATCTATATAATGGAATGAGAGAATAATATAGATGAAATGATATTATACTATAATTAGAGCATTTATTATTAAAGGAATTATCTTTATTTTTTGTAACCTTGATCGAGAGTAAGAATTCAGAAATTTCATATTCAAATTTTCTAAATCACAATCAAGTACACATATTTGAAATCTATAATGTATTTATGATTGCAATATTCGTTTTATGTTTTGTTCATATACTAATTAATAATGATTGATAAAATATTAATATAATTCAAATATTAATAAGAACAGAAATAAAAATATTATATATAAATAAATTATTTTATATATATATATATATCAAAAAATGTTAATTTTTTAACTACTAAAATAAAATTATAAGAATGCTGTATTATAATAGATATTTCCATAATTCTCTAATTATATAGAATAAAATAATAATCAAAAATATTGTGTTATACTAGACTTGTCCATATGTAAATTTGATTAAGAGAAAAACAGAGAATGTTCATTTTTAGAATTTAAATTAAATTTTCCTGATGATATTTCGAAAATAAAAACAATAAAATAGTTGAAGCGATAGATTCATTATTTCATTTCAAATAAGATGTTTAATTCTCAAAACAAAATTACTTTTTATAACAACAAAAAACATTAATCACATTATTGATTGCAACGTAATGTTTTCAATATCGATTTTTTTAACTTCTGAAGTGTCAAATTCTAGAAATCTAAGTTCAAAGTTAAAAAATTAAAGATCCACCGAGGATCTTCATCAGATTTTTCTAAAATTTAAAACTATATTAAAATCAATTGAACGATTATATTAAATATTTCTCAATAAAAAAATTTTTATTAAAAAAATTTTTTAAGTAATTCATAACATAAAAAAGAATTTTATAAACGTATGATTTAAGAATAATAATAATAGTAATCTACGCAATTTCTGGTACTAATCATACAAAATTATTCATAGTATTTTAAATTAATACTAGACTAGTATTACTAGAATATAATACTAAAAGCAAAGGAAAAAATAAACAAATGCAATTAAACTTACGAATCTCCTTGCCAATCATAAAAGTTAATTTGTCCTTGAGTAGTATCTGCTTCAAAATTCGGCACAATAGAATTAATTCTCATGATTGTTCTTTTGAAATTTAATCAATCGTACCAATGTTGAAACAATAATTCGCGGGAATTTAATACGCCACTTCTGAATGTTATTGCAATATATACAATGTTGAAATTGCGCACTAGCATTACTATTTAAGTATTTCCCCTCTACTTTCCATAGGCGTAACTGATGTCACGTTATTTATGTATGTACATACGTCTACTTATGTGTTTTGAATGGTAAACGTATTATCTTTTTATAAGGATGTGTTGACTTTAGCTAATGATAATATATAGAAGGAAACTAAAAGAATTTTATTTATGACAAATTTTGTTATATGTAAAAAAAATTTTTTACATTTTGTCTAACAATTAGTATCCTTATAATTTAATATATGATTGCAATTTACAGAAATTATTAATATTCAGAATTGTGGTTATACATACTTATGCAATAATGTATATATTTTGTGCATTATCAGGCAAATATTTAAAATTATTTTTTTTCAAAATAAAACATTTTGTAAACAAATTTTATTTTATGTTTTCGATTTGTCTGTTAATTATAACCATTTGCACTTATATACTGATCGTAAAAGCATTAGTATGCAATATGATAGGAAATTAAATTTTGAGTAAAAATATTCTAAGAAATATATTAATAAATGTATTTTAAAGATATATGAAAAATTTTGTTAAATATTTTCTTTTTTTTTTAGAGAGAGAAAGTAAACATTGAATGCATAATAACAATTTTTTTTTTAAGAAATTAAAGGAATTTCTAGAGAAAATAAATGATGAATGCATAATATATATATATATACTATTGTCAAATTTAAGCTATATCAAAATCTTTTTTTCATTCAAGAAACTTATATAAGTATAATACTACTTTTAGTTCAATAAGTACTCATTTCCTTTGCACAACTGATATTAAATCTACTGTCATTGAGAAATATTCGTGCATTAAAGAGATTAGATTAAATAGAAATCAATTCAAAAGGAATGTTATGATAAATAACATAATAATATTTATTAAGTATACACATTATTTTTCCACAAAATTTTTTAAAGAAATTTACAGATGTTTATTAGAATTTTGTTATTTAGAGTTATTAGTACTTATTAAATATAAACAAACTTTCTTATATTTGAAAATATCTAAAACATAAGAAACAAAATGCAACAAAATTTTAAATAATAAAACATATAACATTAAATTAAAAAAATCATTATTCAATTACATATTTTTATTTTATTCTCAAAAATAAATTGTTTCTAAAAACATTTTATTTGCTTTTTGATTATCTTTTAATAAAAATTTTTCAAATATAATATTATTTTGCTAAATAATCATCGTAATTTTTATCTTTTCGAAACATAATATATTCGAAAAGTGAAACAAACATGATAAAATTTTTAAAATTTATTATCATATATTGATAGAAATTTATAAAATATTTAATAATTAATAAAAGTGTGACAATTATTTTCAGTTATTTTTATATATTGTTATATAAAATAACAAGAATTATATTAAAATAATATATTGTTATGTAAAATATATGATTACATAAAATTATTAAATATATAAATTATTATAAATAACATTTTTTAATCGAAAATTTTATGGTCGTAAAATAATAGTTTTTTTTATGAAAGTTTAATATTTGATTCTTATATTTTTTCTGTCTGATAAAATTTCAATATTTCAAGTTCAATATTTTAAAAATTATTATTTTTTTATTATGAAAAAATATATGAAATATTTAATAATTTCAATTAAAAAATATGATCATAATCAATTTCATTAAAAAATTATGATTACCTATGAAATTAAAATTGATAAATTTAATTGAAAAAATTAAAACAAATAAAAATCTTTTCCGGTCTCGTACAACTTTAATTCTTTAATCAGCTTTTTATATCATAAAATAAGATAAAGATTAAAATCTTCTATAATCATCTATATGATGAACTTATTCAATGATCAGTATAAGTTTTATGATAAATTGTGCAATATATGAATTTTTATCATTGTTTTTGTAACCTCGTAATGAAATATATATAATCTATTTTAAATAAAAATTGTTTTTTTCTAAAATATGAAATGAGAATTTATCTTAATTTTCATAATCATTCAAAATATATGATATATATATATACATTAATTTTTTTATTATTAATTTGATAAATATATATAAAAAAATAAAATATTATATTGTATCTCTGTATAAGATAATTAGACATCATTAATCACAAAAGAAAATATATACATTTATATGTTTAAAAAATAAAATAATATATATATACATGTATTATTTTCCATTAAATATAAATTTTTCTAATTTTAGTTAAATAATTATCTATTATATTTAAATATAATTATTTAAATATAAAATACTATATATTATAATGAATTATTAAGTTGTTTAATAAACAATACAAGATATTTAATATATAAATAAAGCATATTAATTTTTTAATTTTTTACAATGTCTAGGTTGCTGTCCCAGATGTCATTGAAGCTGCAAAAGATGCAGATATTCTTATTTTTGTAATACCTCATCAATTCATAAGAACACTCTGTGCAACTTTACTTGATAAAATTAAACCTACTGCAGTCGGAGTATCACTAATTAAGGTATTATTTTCAATAAATTTCCTTTTAATATTATTAATTTCTTATACATAATAATATTAATATAATAATTTTTAATTTTATCAAGGGTTTTGATCGAGGAGATGGAGTAAATATCGAACTAATCTCTAAAGTCATTGAAAAAAATTTAAGAATTCAATGTTACGTTTTAATGGGTGCTAATTTAGCTAATGAAGTTGCTGAAGAGAAGTTTTGCGAGACAACTATTGGTAATTAATGAAAAGAATAAAATATTGATCTGTTTTTAAATATATGTTATTATTAATTTTATCGCTAAAATTAATATTTAGCTAAAAAGATATTAGGAAAAAATTTCTTAATTTTTAATAATGAATTTAAATTAAAAAATAAATCGATAAGAATGAAAATAATAATTATGCATAATTTTTTTTAAATGTTGTTATAATAAATAATTATATAATATATAATATTTAATTTTGCAAAATTAAAGTTTTTTAATTTGAAACATATAGTTAATTTTTATAATAATCAATCAATATATAAATCAATCTTTTAATCAAAAATTAAAAAATAAATATTAAATAAATTTTTTAATATTTATAATCTTAATATTAACTTTTCGCTCATTTCTTTCATTTCAAATGAAAAAAAATATAAAATTATATATATAATTTAATGAAATAATTACATAACTTTGCATATAATCTTATTTATATTTTGTCAATTAATTTATAATTTGTTATATTATTTATATTTATAATTTTATTAATTATCTTAATTATCTTAATAGAAACGAAATAATAAATTTTTCTTTTATAATTTTATAATTAAGATGAAATAATAATAAAATATAATAAATTCATAGAAAATTAAATATTAATAGGATATTTCATAATTAAAAAAATTTTAACAACTAATTAGTTATATTGTGTATATTTAATTATACTGTTATTTTTAGGCTGCAGAGACAAACGTCTGGCTCCACTTTTAAAAGATCTTATTCAAACCTCCAATTTCAGAGTTTCAATTGTTGAAGACTGTGAAGCAGTTGAAGTATGTGGTGCTTTGAAAGTACGTAATTAATTATATAAACTTAGCGATTTTAAACAAAACAAACTTATTTAATATATTTATCTTTAATAATTATAACTTATATTTTAGAATATTGTGGCATGTGCTGCTGGTTTTGTAGATGGTATAGGATTAGGTGATAATACAAAAGCAGCTATTATCAGACTTGGATTAATAGAAATGGTTAGATTTGTAGATACATTTTATACTGGCTCAAAACTTGCAACATTTTTCGAAAGCTGTGGTGTAGCAGATTTAATAACTACATGCTATGGTGGAAGAAATCGTAGAGTTTGCGAACAATATGTTAAAACTGGCAAAGTATAAATCACATTTCTTCTTATATTTTTTTATTCCAATATATTTCTCCAATATATCTCTTAATATTCAATTTGATATTATATAAAAAAGTATAATATACATATATTTATATCATTTTTTTTCTACTAGACTATTAGACAGCTTGAAGAAGAACTTTTAGCTGGTCAAAAATTGCAAGGACCAGCTACAGCCGATGAAGTTCACGGAATGTTAAAAGCTCGTAATTTAACAGACAAATTTCCATTGTTCACTACAATACATCGCATCTGTACTGAGCAAATACGACCAGCAGATTTAATTAATGAAATACGTGCTCATCCAGAACTACCGTTAGTATTAAAATTAATTTTATTTATATGATTCGTTAAATTTATTAAATTTTCTAAATTAATTTTATAAAATAAATATCCCTATTAGGTTTGCACCAAAAACATTGTATTTGTATTAAGAACTATTCTTTTTTTTTTTCCTTTTTTTATTGAGAACTGTTAAAATTGTTCTTTAACAAATGAAAACCCATTTATATCGGGATATAACAGATAGTATACTAATACTATACATAATAATAATTTACTAACGTATTCTATCAACATACAAGGATAACATTCCAAAAGTAAGTAATATTTCGATATAAATTTTTTTTTTAATTCAATATATAATTTATAAATATTTATAAAAATATTATTTATGTTTTTTAGAACGATTGGAGATACGCAGAATGCATAATTAAATTAATTAATTAATCTGTATAAACGTTATTTTCTGTCAGTATCACATTTCATTTAGAAATCATTAAAAACAAAAAATCAAATACTAGAAGAAATATATAATATATAATATATTAAAATATATAATATTGCAGATATTTTGCAATAATTAGTTTTTACATTATTTATAATTGGTTTCAATTACAATATTGTTTCCTCTTTAAAATAAATATATAATTGTATTGTAAGATATGTAAGAAAATAATAAATATAATTCTTCTAAAATAATTTGTAATTTGCAATAAATCATCAATATTATAATATTTCAAGTAGTTATTTAATGTTAAAAAAAAAATTTAAAAATATTAAAAATTAAAAATATGAAAAATAATTGAAAGCTTAAAAGAATGATATAAATGATTTCGTTCTAAAATAAGTAAATATTATTCATTTAAAAGATTTTATTATTTTCTAAATAATAAAGAATATTATACATTAATGTATATTTAAGAATATTATACATTAATGAGTTTTAATATTATAAATAACATATATCTGTATAGTATATTAGTTCATCATTTGTTGCATTTTGATTTAGTATAGTTTATTTTAGATTTTTATACAATTATATAATTGTAATACAATATACAATATACAATAATACATAATAATATACAATAATACAATTCTTATCTTTTCTTGCCTTTTTCGAAATATCAGGAACAATGCAAAACTGACATATTTTCTTGTTTTGTGAAGATTCGCCAAAAATGCGATTTTTCCTGGATTCTTTTTAAGATCTTGATAATAAAATAGGTCTTGGAATGCCATACTGTCACATTTGGCATAATATGATTATTGTTGCTAATAATAATATTTTTCTATTTAAATTCAACTTGATTCATAAATTTTAAGTTAATAATTTTGTCATTCATATCAGTTTTCCTTTGAAGCTTTCAATATTTAAATATTATGAAAATGTATTAATAAAGAATTATTAATATATAAATACATATATAAATATTTGTATATTTCCATAAAATAGTAATAAATTTAATTATAATTTAACTTATTGCATAATTTAAATATATTTATAATTTTATATTTATAATTATACATAACTACTTTGCTTTATCTTTCGAAGTAGAAGTATCTAAATTGTCCTTTTTACTTCTATTACATGGCTCATCTTTGTAGGGCACATTGTCTACTAATGTTGTATCAGGTGTAATGCGTAATTCTAAAATATTGTAAAATAAAATCAGTAATGAAAAAAAATTTATAATTATGATAATTTTAACAATATTACCAAAATGTCCAGGTTTTGTTTCAACTGCTTGAACTATTGTCGTTCGTACTTCATGTTCTACTTCTTCCGCAAATTTGTTTAGCTAAAACAATACTTATTCAGTAATTTGTTCAAATATATATATAATTCAATAAATTTTTTATCCCAATATCCAGAAAAATTAATTCCATTTCATTTATATTCGAAAAAAGAAAAAAAAATAATAATAATTGATATATTCAAGTCAATGCTTGAAATAACTTGCAATACTTTATTTATATGTATGATTCATTCTATATATATATAATATTATCAAGACAAAAATATAATTATAAAAATTGAAAAAATTCTAACTTTTGAAGAACATAGCCAGACATTAAATTGAATTTATCATTACAAATCTTGAAAAAACAGAATCAAATTTTTTCTATTTTTTATATACTATTATCAATTTCCATAATTCTTTTATTCTTACTCACTTTTGTATTTATATTTAAAAACATTCATTAGTTGAAGTATTACAATAGTTATATTCGAAATATAATAGAAAAGAATAAAACACGTTTTTGTATATCATATAATATATACTAAGAAATCATCTGATAAAATGTTTATTTAAATAGATATAACTTTTTTTTCACCATTATTAAATCATTTATATTTCGAAAATATTCGCGATCGAATGTTAATATTTCTTGTATTTTATATGTTATATATTATTACCTTTGAAAATTATTTATAATCTATTTCTGGAATATGCACATATGTCCATAAATTAAGAATGTTTATTATTCGCGATATTTCGTATCTTCATGGCATATCCGTGATCATATATCTGCAAGATGGGCTTAAAATTTATTTTATATGTTTTTCATAAATATTGAAGATTTTTTATTTATAATTAGTTATTGTATACTTCGTTATAACAAATAAAATTATTTAATATATATTTTGTTCATCAAATAAATTAATTCAATCCGTGTATGTAATAATTTGCATTAATACTATCGTAAAAGTATTAAAAATATATATACATTATAATATATTATAAATATATATATATATTAAAAGTATTAAAAATTTTACGAAAATAATAATGTATTTTAAATATTATAATATATTGAAATATTGACAATTAATAATCCCTATAATAATCAATAGATTAATAATCCTTGCAAAATATATATCATTATATAAAAAAAAACTTTATCATATCATACATAATACAGTGAAATCTCAATTAACCGACTTCATTGACATAAAACAAAAATATATAAAAATTCATTAAATATTTGAAACCTGAAAAAATATAATAGAATTATATATAGTAGAATTCCATTTATTTGTATTATACATATATATAAAATTTTTATCATTAAGTGAACTGTGAACTTTGAAAAAATAAAATTAATAAAAATAATGATAATAGATTAAAGTACTAAATGTAATTGAAAGAATGATTTATATGTATTATTAAATTCACTTATTCAAATAAAAATTTCAATTATTTGAATAAAAAATTAAAAACAACCAGTATTATATAATTTGTATTATATGAATCTATTTCTTATATAATTGTTTTTTTCTCTTATTAAATTTATATAAAATTTACTATATAATATGATATATATTTGATTTGAGAAATGCAATATTTTATTCAAAAATAAGCTTAATTCAAAAATTTCATATTTCTTCTTCTGTTATTTGCTGTAAAAATGAAATAAATAAAAACTTATCCATAATCAAATAAAATTGTGCATATATTTATTAATATTGTTCTGACTGTTCTTCAAAAACTGAATTGTGTAGCATATTTTTTTGTTGGACAACATAAATTCTGATTAAACTAAAATTTGGTTAATCAAAATTCCACTGTATTTTAAAATAAAAATTTTACCTCTTCAATAGCAGCTGTATTTGTGACATTTTTATATTTTTTGTACTCCTCGTTTATCTTGTTCCTTAATACTAAGTCAAATTTATAAACTTATCAAAATATTATAATTTCAGTAATTTTTTCAAACATATTTAATAATCATATTTAACTTACCTTGTAATGCATGTTCATCACCTTGAAAAGTTTTCATTCGAGTACGATGCAATTTTTTAAATATTTGTAATACCTAAAAAATACAAATAACATTATAAATAATATAACATAATATAACATAAATAAGATTAAAATATTATGTAATGATAATAAAATATTATCAAATAATATATATGCAATACATATAAAATATTATAAGCAGATTTTTTTAAGATCTATTTGCTAATTATAGGTTCATTTTTCTTTTTAAATAAATCTAGAGAGTTAAAAATTTGAATGAAAAAAATTTAGGAAAAATTTAATTAATAAAAATATATTATAAGTAATTAAATATTAAAAATATATAATTTCTTATATTATGATTAGAAACTATATATAATTTATTTTCAAAATAATATAAATTCAAATTTTATTATTATATTTATTATTATTATGAAATAATTATTATTGCATTATATTATAAAAAAGTATATTAACACATTAAATTAATATTTATTACAACAAAAATATATTTATCTTAAAACTTTTATAAATATATATATATTTATATGAGAAAAAAAATTAATTTTTTTAAATTACTTTAACATTAATTTAATGTAATCTTAAATTTTTTTAAATCATTTAATATCATTTGAATTATTTATAAAATTTTTCTTACAAAATTTTAAATATGATATTATAAATAATTAATATAATCTTAATTAGATTAATAAGATTAAATATAATCTTAAATAATTTTTATTCATTAAAAATTCAAGATCATTCAAGATCAAATCATAACCTTAATATTAACAAAATGTTAATATAAACATAATATAAGCATTACCTTTTGTCGTAGATTATCTCCCATTTTTTCAATAACTTTTAAAAAATATAAAATGAATTTTTTTTTAAAATATCAAATAGGATTTAAAAATATTGGTACTTTAAAAACATCAAATAGATTTCACTTTTAAAAGTTAGTTCTTTTTTAAAAAAAGAGGTTAAGTATTTACATTTCCATATTTAAAGTAACACTAATATATTGGTATGATTATATATAATAAATATAAATTATTTCTTATTAATATTAAATCTAAATAAAATTTATTCCAAAACATTAAATTATATTAATTATTATTTTTAACAAACTGTTATCGTAAAATAATTTTTTTTTATTTTATACATATCAAAATAAATTTATATTATAAAATATTTTTTATTATTTATTTAATCTAATATTTTTATTTAATAAAATATTATAGTAATAAAAAGTAAATTGAAAATATGTATTTGAAAATGAAATTATTAAATATTTTTTAATACTATATTTATTTATAAAATTTTATTAAAATTGATAATAATAATTTTGATGTAAAAATAATTGTTTTGTTATCGATAAATATATGCTATATAATGTATATATATTATATATATATATCAATATTTAAAAACTTATAAATACTTATAAATTTTATTACAATAAAGTGAAATTATAAAGAATTATAAATAATATTATTTATCTTAAACAATTAAAAACTTTTAAATTAAATTAATAAAAAATTATTCATTTTAATATCATTAATTATAATTATATTAATTTATAACAAATCGTACCTATTAACTTAACCTAATCTTAAAATACAAAAATATATAGAAATACTTATATGTATATATAAAAATACGTTTTTTTATATATTTACTACAATTTTTTAACTATATTATTGAAACATGAATAGAATATAAATTTGTACATATATGCATAACATGAATCAAACATCAGTACATATATGTAAGTATCTATGTAGTACAATTTTTAAAAAGGCGATAGGAAGGAAACAAATTCATATGAAGGAAAATATGTATTTTCTTTTAAAATTAATTTAATTAATGAAATTAAATTTACTCGTAAACAAATAATTTATAGTATAATTTCGGGAAATAAATATACTTATGATGAACAAAGTATGTCCAAATTGTAGACAAATAATAAATACATCGCGTTCAAGACTTGTAAAAGATAGTTGTGGTCATATTAAATGTCGTATGTGTTTAATATATGAAGAACAAGGTTGCAAAATATGTATCAATGAACATAGTATTGAAAATTATGGTAGAACATTTATAGTTATATATTTAATAATAATAATTACTGTAATTTTTGCTTCATTAATATGTTTTTTTATATGTTGTTTTGCAGAAAAAAAAATATTAAATAACGTTTCTATTTCTGATAAAAGTAATATATGTAATGAAATATTACCCTTAGAATTAGTTATTAATAAAGATTCCAAACTTAAAGCAAATAATTTTGAACCAATTTCTACTGATTATATAAATAATTATGAATTATATAGAGAAGATATAATTAACAAAACAAAAGAAATAAATAAATCTTCTACAGATATTAAAAATAGTGATACATCAAATAATTTACATATTTCAAATATAGAAACTAATAATGCACTTCTAAATGTATATCCACATTTAAGTAATAATGTAGTAGTAAAATCATCATCTAACAATAAAGTAACAGAAATTTGTAATGTGGTAAGTTTTATAATTTATATGATATTTAAATCATTATTCTATATTAAAACTTTTTTAGGAAATCAAGACAAAATTTTCCACAAAAGAAAAATTAAAAAATAAATCTATGAAATGTGTTGATCGTGATCATATTACTGTAATACCAGGAATACCAGAAAAATATAAATGCAATATATGTACTAAAATTTTTCAAAACAAAAAAGAAAAATGTTATCATGATGCTTGTATAACAGGTATCAAACCTTATCAATGTTCTTTTTGTGACAGAAGTTTCATAAAAAGATCACATTTTGAATATCATGAAAGAATTCATAAAGGATATAGACCATATAAATGTAATCTCTGTGAGAAAGCATTTCCGCAACAGAATAAACTTAATAGACATATGTATTCTCATGGTAATAACATTTTATAATATAAACATAGTTTTATTTTATTTATAAAAAACAATATTTAATTAGATTTTTATTTTAAATAATAATAATTTTAATACTATATATTAACTATTAATTAAATTAAATTTAATTTTAGGAGATAAACAATTTATGTGTTCTAAATGTGATAAAAGATATTCCAAACAAGATGATTTGAAAAATCATTTACATATACATAATGGAACAACTACATATTCTTGTAAAACTTGTGAAAAAACTTTTAGAATATTAACTAACTTAAAACGTCATTTAAAAACACATAATAGTAAGTAATTATATAAAAAAAAAAATAGTAAACATTTTAATTTCTAATTAATAATAAGAATTTTATTTTTAATTAAATAAAAATATTTTGAAATTATTTATTGATATAAATATATCTTGATAAAAAATATCATTAAATTATAAATAAAATATAAAAAATATTAAAAATTTTTAAATTATTTTAAATTTATTAGAAATATATTTTAAAATTATTATCTTAATATTTTCTTTATTAATTAGATGAAAGACCATATGTATGTGATCAATGTAATAAAAGCTTTAAAGATAAATCTTTAGTAATTCGTCATAAAAAAACGCATGGAAAAGATAGACCATTTTCATGTGCACATTGTAGTAGAGTATTTTTATCTAAAAGTGAATTAAGACGTCATTTAACAGTTCATTCAGGTATGTAATGTTTTATATTATATATTATATTATTAAATAATGAATTATAAATCTAATATGATATAAACAATTCATTTTAGATGAAAAACCATTTTCTTGCAAATATTGTGAAACTGTATTTAGAAGAAAAGATAATTTACATCGACACATTAGACATCATCATCCAGAAAGTTTATCTTTTAATATTAATAATGAACAAAATGCAAATCCTGAAACAAATACAAAATTAGCAAAAGCTAAACAAATAAATTTAAAACAAAAGCAAAAGACAAAAAAGACACAAAAAATACCTTCCAATCTATTACCAAAAACTCCAACTAAGGTATCAGTGGTGTGTATAAGTTCTTGTGACCAAATCAGTTCTAGATTAGATTCAATGGGTAACATTACACCTGTTATAAGAACTACTAATGAAGTTAGTAATGCTGTTTCTGTTATTAATGGACCAATTAATATTAAAAAGCTAGATGATACCAAAAGAAAGACATTTACATATACAGAACCAATACCTCTTGCTGAAGCAGTTGTAATAAATAAACGTATTGAAGAAAAGTTATATCCACAAAATATATCAAATCATAATTATTTTCTTAGAAATTGTTTAAATTGTACAGATAAATCATATCCTACCCTTACAAATCAAATATCTCATACAAATTCTAATTTATAATATTCTACAAACAAAACAATACTATATTTAAAAATTTAATTAAAATTATTTAGAATCAAATGAGTAAAAAATTTTTATAATATGAAGAACAACAAAAAAAAAGTATCCACAATTCTTTAAATTTTCTAACAATTTTTCAATTATTTTTTCAATTCTAATTCTAATTATAATTAGAATTTCTGAATATCAATATTGTTCTTCATTAAAAATACAATAAATTTTTAGGTTTTCATAATATCATATTTTTATACGAAATATTACATTACTTTCTTGATGTAATAATTAATGTAATTTCTTATATCATTTAAAAGATAAAATAAATTTTTGTATTTTATATCTTGTATCTATGCTTATTTTTTTTTATTATTTAACTAATTTTATTATAATTTATACATAAATATTATATTTTTCAACAAATGACATAGAAGTAATGAATTAAAAATAAATGTGCACACAATATATATATATATATATATATATATTAGAAAAATAAATTCTTATTCTTTTATTTATTATATATAATTTCAAATTATAATATAAAATCTGCAAATTATTTTTAGTAGAATAAAATTTTATGAAATGAAAAATGATTTTACTTTATAAAAAATATTAGATTGTATTTTAAATATTGTATTGTATAATATATGATATATATATCATAATATCATTAATTTGAATGTTATTTTTAGGATGTAGAAAAAATATATGCAAAACTATTTTTTTTAAATATATAGCATATATATTTTTATTTCTAATAGAATATTATTCGTTTTAATGGATTCATTGATGTATGAAATTATAATAATAAGAATGCAATAATGAATTTCGTTTTTATCAATACAATGTTATAATAGTTGAATAGTTAAAGTTTATACATTAATATAATATATATAATAACCTTAAAATTTATGATGAAATTTCAAAAAAGAATATTCAATATATATCAATATACATAATAATATTAATCATATTTATTTTTTTTTATTTATCATTATCTTCGTAAATAAAAAATATTACTTGATTTTTTTTATACTATATATTTGTAATTTGCATTTTTTATACTATATATTTGTATTTGCATTTAATATTATTTATAATTCGCAATATAGTAAATTTTTAAAAAGTCTTAAGAAAAAATTATATTGTACATAGTTTGTGAACTAATTTTATTTATAATAAAATATGAAAATGTTTCATGTATTATTATAACTGCATTTCATGTATACATAGGTAGTTTATTTTAATGACGATTGACATTTCCGGCGCTGTATAAATACAATATTTATTTCATTATATTTATAAAAATAGACGCATTGTATAACTATAAATGTATTATTTATATATATAAATATAGATAATATATAAATATGATATTAAATAATCAATTTATTAATATAACATATTTATTGTTTATATGGAAGAATATATTGAATAATAATGATACTTAAATTTTATTCTTTATAAACAATTAAAATATATTAAAATATATATTAGGCAATATATAAAATTTTTTTAGATAATATTTAATCCTAATATTCTGAAAAATTCTTAAAAAGATAATAAATTAATAAGTAATATAAAAGCTGCGCATGCCTGAAATATTTATATGGTAGTTGCGCATTTGGGGTTCACATAGGCATTTGGAAGGAACAGTATCGATTGACCGACGTGCG